TTGTTCCTATTGGGCTTGTTTAGCGTATCCGGGTAAACCGTCTTTTCCTTAACCCTCTGGGACGCTCTTCGTTATGCTTCTAAACGCGCCGTCATGCCAAGCCGCTTCCAGTAAGGTTAATGGGCCGAATATGCTATTGTGTTGGGCTAAATTCTCCCATTCGATGGGCCTTGCGGAGGAGTGTAATCCATCTCCCACACTCCTTAACTTTCAAGCCACTCTCAAGAAGCTGCATTGACTTGTCTCCTCTCACGGTGACGTAGCAAGCAATCTTTTCGTTACGTCTTATACCAAAAGACCTCACAGTGTACCTTGCTGTTTACAATCAAGCTAAAATTGAACTCTACACGAGATTTAACATGAATATGTTCAGACATTATACCTTTGGAGAAAACAGGGGTTTGACCACTGAGCTGTTCCAACACCTACACAAATTTACCCAAAAACCTCATTTCAGTAATACCCAAAAGTAAAAAGTAGAAGGAACCTTGGAGGAACGGGTGAGACGATCACCACTCTCACCGACAGAGATGCTAAGAACAAGCTTCTTAACTTTGATATCCCTCATTGGGTTCGAGAGCTTCTTCTCTGTCGCCTGCATCAAAAGAAAAAAAAGTATTAAACCCAAAAGACTTTAATTATTCGAATGGAGGAATAAACAAGAAGCAATCTACGGTACCATCTCAGGATGCAAATTCGAGCGAGATGAGCCAAAAAAGTGGAAGACGAGTAGCGACAGCTGCGTGTGGTTTAAACTGAATTATGTTTTATTAGATTTAGAAAGATAAAAATTAACTCCGTTGCCGGGACTCGAACCCGGGTCTCTCGGGTGAGAGCCGAGTATCCTGACCAGCTAGACTACAACGGAATTGATGTTTGTTTAACCATAGAAAGAAACTTAATCAAATGCACTTGAGTTGACTCATTTCAAGACTCTGGTCTTCTTTCTGGACAAGTATTATGGAGATCTTGTTAACTGAACAGTCTGTTGTTTCTCTTAATGCAGACAGAGAAAACGTCTTGAGGTCTGCCTTTTTAAGAAAGTGAGTCGTAAACAAAACCATTTCATAAAATTTGGTAATAACAAAAATAGAATAGAAGGAGACACAATTCAAAAGGAGAAAGAAACAAAAAAACATAGCAACCCCCTTAAACTACAGAAACTTCAGCCTTCCTCTTCTGGTAGACATTATTAGATCTCTTTGACTAAAGATTCTTTCACCTTCTACTCAAAAACTTTACTATATAAAAATCTCTGACTAAACTCATTTACACATGCAGAAAGAATGAAGCAAAAGATGAGATTTTGTTTTTTCTTTTTCTCTCACCAAACTTAAAAAGGAAAAAGAAGATACAACTGAATAACTTTTCTTGCAGATTTGGGGAAGTTAGGGTGGTTCTAAAAGCTGTCTTTTACCATCAAACTTGTCTCTGAGTAGAAACATTCCTTAGACTAACTCGAGGCGGCAAAACTTCCAACTGTGCCCTCCACCTATCTTCTGAGTAATGGTACATTATACATATAAAGTTCCTCATCTTCTTGATCGTTTTAAGTTCCAGACTGATTCAAGAAGCTTAAACCCAATTGTCTCTTGATATGGTCTGGGATCAACTTGTTAACCAGCTCTGGTGATGCTCCAGCTACCTCTTGTTTGAAGTTGAAGATTGGCGGGAAAGGCCGTCCGTTTGGTAAACGAGCATTTGGTTCTCTGAGTTCATCAAAGAACGGATGTGCACATGCTTCCAGCTGAAATTATAGCAGAAGAAAAGAAACACCATTTATTAGCATTTCAGTTAGACCCTTAGAGAGAGAGAAGAAAAAACACTCACCGCTGTGCATCTAAGACTTGGAGAGTACTGAAGCAGCCTCGAGGCAAAATCAATAGCTTCTGGAGGCATTCTTTTATGGAAAATCTTGTGCCATGGATGTGCCTTTATCTGAGGGAACCTAAAGTCTGTGTAATGTGGATTCATACAACGGATCTCTTCTCGTGTTGGTGTACCAAGAACCTGTTTCCAACAACAACTTAAAACAATGAGGATTCTGTAACCAAATTAATGTACTTTGTCAAAAATATCAATGTTAAAGAATCTTACCTTGATGATTTCAACGAGCTGATCCACAGCATTTTCTCCAGGAAATAGCGGCTGCATTCATAAGAACATAGTCTCATTACAATGCCTCCTAACGGGAAAGTAGTGAATGTGATTAGTGAAATTTTGGTTTACCTGACCAAGAAGAAGCTCGGCAAGAACACAACCAGCAGACCAGATGTCAATAGAAGTCGTGTACTCAGTGGCACCAAATATGAGCTCAGGTGCACGGTAGAATCTTGAACATATGTAGGAAATGTTGGCTTCACCTTTAACCTGACGTAAATGTTAACTTCATCAGCAAATGACAACTCGAAAGAGTTTATAATGTTCTGAAGTCTCTTACAAGCTGTTTAGCACTGCCAAAGTCACAAATCTTGACTTGATGAGTAAGAGGATCAACCTGCAGACAGAGACAGATCAGCAAAGAAAGAAACAACACAAGAGTTGATATCTTGCATGCTGACGCATACCAGAAGATTTTGAGGTTTTAGATCTCTGTGACAAACTCCAGCAACATTGTGCATGTAAGCAAGTCCCCTAAAGATCTGAACACAACACAAAAGTTCATGAGAACAAGAACATTTCTTCTAATGTGAAAAGCTATGTTGTTTACCTGGTACATGTAGAGTTTAACATAAACAAGCGGCATTCTCTGATTTGCACCGCTATAATGTTTCAGAACACGGTACAAGCTCTCAGGGACATACTCCATAACCAAGTTGAGAAACAGCTCGTCTTTACTAGTGGTCGAGAAGAAGCAATGCTTCAAACAAACCACATTAGGATGGTCCATGACACGCATCAGCTGAAGCTCTCTGTTCTTGTATCTCCTGTCTTGCAAAACCTTCTTTATCGCCACGGTTTCTCCGGTCTCCAAACACTTTGCCTGGAAAACTATCCCGAATGAGCCTGTTCCGACAACTCTCTCCGCCATGTAACTTATTGTCTGTTTTGGTTCTCCGTTTTTGCCACCAATTGTGGTGGAGATTATGTGACCGGTGACTTGATCATGTCCGTTAACTACAGCAGCTGGTACCTCCTGTAAGAGGCAAAGCTTGACAGGTCAGGAAAAGACTCAAATTAACCTTTAATGCTTGTCTGAGAATTCAAAAGGCTTTTAAGAAGGAAACTTTTATTAGTCAAAAAGAGTGGTTAAGGAATATCCGTTACGCGTATATACTTTTTTTTTTGTCACGCGAGAAGAAAGGTAAACAGAAACAGAAACGCATGTAATAAAACAGAACAAAACAAAGAATGAATCTATGCTCTTTCTGGATCTAGCAAGTAGAACACAAACTGTGGATTTAATATACAGATCGAGAGAGAGATAACCAACAGGGCGCTAGTTCACAAAACCCTAGGAAATATGCTTAATTTACACACATACAAATCAGATTTTGTTTACTCTTTCAAGTAAAAGCTAAAGAATAGTTAGGTAAGTAGTCGAACTCATAACTATTTCCGGAGCTTAAAGATCTAATGGTAACTCAAAAAGAACAAAGAAGAAAACTTTTGAGAAACCCAGAACTCGAAAACCCTTCAACTTCAAGAACACTAGCTATACAGTTCTTAATATCTTGATTAAAAAAAAAAAGAAATCTATATTATAGCAAGACTCTTTCAGACATAAGCTGTTCGCGCAAAGACCGTTAACTGAAGGGTAAATATGGAAAGGGAAAAAACAGGATCTTTCCTTCAAAGATGATAGAGGAAAGGAAACAAGTAGCTTACCTTATCGTCAGCCATGGCGTTAGAGGCAGAGAAAGAAGAGTGAGATAGAGATAGAGAGAGAGAGGGATTGAGGGAACAAATGGGTTCATTCAGTTTTGTTGGTAATGATCATTGGTGGAGAGAGAGAAGACGAGAGCATGAAGAAGAGAGAGAAAGAACAAGTCCATGTGAATACAGCTCCTCTCTCTTTTATTTCTTCTCTCTCTCTATCTCTACTTTCCGTTTTCTTCGCCATCTTCTCTTTTTAATTAATTTTTGTTTGTTTAGCGAATTTACATAAACACCCTCGACACAAGGGCTCTAAGTTTCGTTATCAGTGTTGTCGGTCAAATTTGAATCTTCAATCTTTGATTGTCTCATCTTCCGAAATCGTTTGGTTTAAGGTCTAAACTTGTATTTCATGTGTTTTGTGAAGATTGTTAGATGATTATAAGGCCAACTCCAATATTGGTGTGATTTCTTCACTAATGAAATACCAAAAATTATATTATTCCATCAAATTTGGTGTAGAGTAAATAGTGTTACACCAAATTTGGTATAACACTATTCATCACACCAAATATTGAATATACATATTATATTATATTTCATTCAAAAATATAATTTAATTATTATTATTAATTAGTACAAATTTGTAGCTATATTTAAATATACTATATTATTTATATTCTTAATTATTTTTACATAATTATAATGTTTTATTTTATTTTCAAGTAAAAAATCACTAATAATTGTTATCATTTATTTTATATTATAATATTTTTTTTAGAATATCAATTATAATCTTTATTTAAGTTATATATAATCAGTAATTAATAATTTATAATATTACATTGTAACTTTAGATTTAATAGTAAATAATGAAACTTTATGTAGTACTATCAAATTAATCAAATACTAAAATATTTATTTTAGTTTTCATTTTATAATATAAATAAACTTGTATTACTAGCTAAGAAATTTTTAATTAAATAAATATATTATTCTGTTATGTGTTTTCCATAATTAATTGTTTGTAATTTTTAATATAATATTATATAGAAAATATAAATGTATAAATTTATTAACTTAAATTACAAAAATTTAATAATTATAATATATTATAATATCTAAGTATGATAAAATAGATATTTATCAATTACAAATAAATTATAAGATGGCACATGTGTATACCTTTTTTTTTTTTTAAAAGTTTATTTTCGTCTCAAATTAAAAAAAAAAATAGCTCCGACGATTCTAGAGGAGATTTCTGTATAAGGAGCATCACGGTAAATCTTCCTTTCCGTTGTTGATTTATGGATGTAATCGATTAGGATTTCAATTTGGGGGTCTTGCATGATGTTTCCTCTTGATTTAGGGTTCAGTTTTGTTGTTTTGGATTCGATTTGGGGATGTTTTCGATTGGGGGTTTTCATGGAGATGGCTAGTGAGGAAGACGAGAGATTCGAGATCCTTTCGCTCCACACAGCCATCGAAGCTTTTCCCGGAGAGATATCCCGTCGTGGAGGAGGTGAAGCTGAAATTTTCCCTACGTGATTGTCTCGAGGAGCAACAGCCATCTGCTGGCTAAAACCACCACGGCCAGTTGTGACTGGAGAATATGACATCTGTTGAGGTCTCCCCTGTGAGCGAGGTTTGGGGGTTGAAGCTTTTACTTGGGGCTCTGTAATGAAAGTCATTGTTTTTATACAAGCTTTGTTTTCATTGCAGTTATGTATACAAGAAGAAAGTGAGAGAGATAAAGGAGGAAGAAGATGATGATGCATGAATCTCGGCATTTGCATGCGATAAACCGGCCAAGAGAATGTGGAAGCCGGTTTCTCAATGCCAAGAAGAAGAATAGGGAACATAAGAAGGAGGCAACCTCTGATGAGAACACTTCAGAAGCAAGTTCCAGCCTCATGTCTGAGAAATCAGCCGTGGCTCCTAATTTAGTAAAAAGTTCATGCACAATGCTGTGGTAATCTAAGTTCCCAGGTGCTCCTTCTTACCCCCAACTTTGGATGTTGAGGTGCTTTGGTATAGATCTTTTTTTTTTTTCAGAACCGAGGAAGATAAGATTTGTAGTCTTCCAGTTTTGGATGTTATATACATGTCTCAATGGTTGGAAGTTGCAGTTTAGCAAAGTATTTTTCTGCTGGTGAAGTAAATAAACATGATGAATGTCATTGAATTCGTGAGATTGGCTTTTGATCGTTATAGTATAATTTATAAACGTAGTAGAAACTGATATGTGTCCTCCTTGGATTGTAGTTTCATATGTCTAGGCATGGTTCTTGTGGCAATGTAGAGCCTCTGTTGTTGAGGCTATAAGAAAGATTTAACTTTTAAGTATTTAAAGATTCTGATAGGTTGATTAGCTCAGAGAAGTGTTGGGAGCTTTGGATTATATCATTTTGTATATCGTTGCGTATTGGTGACATGCGTTTGATCATGTGTTGCTTGTGAAATTGTCAATGTCGGAAGCCAGTTTGTTTCAAGTTATCAGTTTGTACATGAACAATTCTTAAGGACTCCATAATAGGTAATACCATTGGACACAAATATTAGACTAGAGTCTTTAACTATTTTTTAAAAAGAAAAAATGTATTTTTATATTTCTAAGGACTCCAATGGTGGTAACACCATTGGAGGTGCTCTAAAAGTGATTAAAATTGTCAATGTCGAGGATGATTAATATCAAAATTGTCACTTTCGCAATTTCATAATTAGAAGAGTGATTAATAAAGTGAATGTAAAATTGCCACGAACTATTTTAAATTTTTTTATAATTATCCTAAAGGTTTGATTGTGTAATCAGTATGAATTAAATTAATGATGATAATCACGTTAAAGAAAATTACTGACAAAATCATGCGTCATACACATAAGTTATAATTTTACATGATTAGTAGATTTGTGATCAGGCAAGATTACATTATTTTCTGCTATTCTTTTTTGACTTGTAACTAAAGAAAGACTATTTCACAACTAAAACATCTATAGGCACAAATATAGCTTTCAAGTAAACAAAACATGTAAGGTAATTAGGTAAAGTAATACATAAATAAAAAGTTAATAGCATGATGAACTGGAACTAAATTGTCAAAGATCGAGTTTGACCATTTAGTGCGAAAACTTCTTTTTGACACTGATGAAAGAAAAAAGCATTTGTGTTTCCTTGGTCTTGGCTTTTTAATGTTTGGCTATTTTATAACTAGTAGGTTTTATACTTTGAAATGTCTTTAATTATTACCTAATAGTGTAGCTTTACTTATGGTGTTTGTTTTCTCTTTATTTTATATTTATTTTTTAGGAAAAAATGAATGATGATAATGATTAGGGACATACGAATCAGATATCTACATTTTTGAAGATATTTGACATTTGGTTCGTAGATTACAAATATCAAACTTTGGAAAATACAGATATATCCGAAAAACGGATATCAACAAAATAAATATATAAATGTTGATATTTACGAATACTTATGAATATCTTATTATTTTTGATTAGTATAATTTTTTAAGAAAATTTGAGACAAATTTATTTTAAACATATTTTCCATGATATATAAAATTGAAATTAAAATGAGTAGTTAATCTATATATTTTGTATATATTTTTAAACAAATTAATAATTATAATAACACAAAATTTAAGAAAAAACTAGAACTATCATATTTTTTTCTTCTTTCTATATTATAAGTAATAATGTGTAAAATTTGTCAAATCATATTCTAGAATTATCACTACAAAAAAAGGCTAGTTTAAATCATTTATTTTATATATTTGTATTACTTATAAATGATGTAAAAGCATTTTACATCACTTAAATAAATGACTTAGTTTTTGGTGATGCAAATAATTTGAATCATTTTGTTCATAACTGATGTAAAAATAACAAATATTTCCATCACTTATTTTAAGTGATGTTAGTATGTGTCAATTGTTAATAAATGATGTTACCATTTACATCATTACTCATAATTGATGTTAAATATTTACTTCAGTTAGAAATAATTGATATTAAAATTAATATCAGCTATAATAATACTTATAATACTTTTAATAATTACGTCAATATAATTTTTGTTTATTAATAATAAATTTATTTTCTTATAATTATCCTAATTATTATTTTTTAATTAATGATAATTTACATAACAAACAATATCTTTTCCAATATCAATTTAGTTTCAGTTACAGAACCAAAAAAATTCAGAAAAACTTTCATTATATTTTGCAGAATCTATATGACGATTTACAAATAATTTACAAAAAAATAAAAGAGAAAACAACACATATCAAAACAACACAGCTTCTATTCTTTCTTGTAAGATCACATGCTTTATTTCTGCCATGGATTGTAGATTGAACATGATGAAGATTTGAATATCAACATATTTGAAGATACATATTCCTGTAAAAATTAAAAAGAAAAAGTAAGAAAATAAATTCCATAAGACCTTTGATGATTGCTGTTTGACAATATCTATTTATAACTATTAATAGCATATAATTTTAAAATACCTCTTATATTTCTTCTGTAGAAACGTTGAAGTATATCTTCATTGACTAAGTTTACCATATCTTCACTTTAATCTCTCAATGATTGTTAGGAATGTGAATACCATTCCACATAGCAAATAGAAACAAATAGGTGAAGAAATTAAAAGAAACATGTAGTAATACAAAGCAATAAAGTCTCTGAAGTTTTTTTAAGAAGAGTAGAAGATGATCAGTCATCAGATTCCAACTTCAAAAACGTTGGTTAAAAAGTTTTCTAAGTGTTGTGGCTTTGTGGGCTGTGAGAGAAGTTTTTGTTGTGATATAAAAAACGTGAGTTTGTGGGGTGAGATAAAAAAGGAGATCACTATATTTGTGGTAACAAATATATTTAACTTAATTTTTCTGTGTCAAAAAATATATTTATTTTTAATGCCAAACAATTTTCTTAACAAACTAAAAACAAATCTATAAAATTTAATTAACTATTAGCATTTATTTCGAGTACAATTTTCCCATAAACTGTTTTTATGTGGATTTTTGGAATAATTACATATTGATAATCAATTACATATACTTTGATGTAACAAATCAGTTATATATATTTTACACAATTATAATTTTCAGCTTGATTATTTAATCAGAACTTTTTGTAAGATACCCAGTAAATATATAATTTTTTTATATAATCAATATTGAATATTCTAATTTATAAAAATAAACTTTAGCATCATCAAATGTATTAAACAATGTACTACATATACTAATATATTGTAAACTAATGTATATTTAATATCAAATTTGCATCGTTTATTATAAATAATGTTACTCTATATCATTTCTCTAACTGATATTAACACAAGTTAATACATGTATCAGTTATTTACGTGATGTAAACTTATATTTTGTATCAATTGTTTGAAACGATGTAGATTAGATAGATTTGTATCAGTCGCAATGAAAATGATGTCAAATAGATTTTAAAAACATCGTTTATTATAACTGATACTGAAACAAATATTCTGCATCATTTATTAATAAATAATTCAAACTAACATCACTTATCTTTGTGATACAATTTAAGTGATGCAATCCAGTCTTTTTTTTGTAGTGTATAACTATATACTTTTACACATTTAAAACTTTAAATATGATTAAGGTATACATATATTTATATATTATCGGGTCGAAGTAGATTTTTGCTTCCCTAAATTCTAATATTTGTGATTTACTTCAATTTTAACAGATATAGATTTTTAATATTTGCATTACTATAAAAGTGTATGGATATCCAAATTTTTGAGTTAAATCAAAACAAACAAAAGACTGAATCAAATTTAATGGATAAAATGGTCAGCCATAATATGATAGCAATACTAGCATTTGCAGAACACAACAACAATATTAATATAATTTCTTTGTTCAATTATGCATGAGACATACATGCGTTTGGCGGTATGGATTTACATTACATATTGTGTATATTATCTTGAGCCTCAATTATTTATATTTTATCTTATTATATAAAGTAAAATTCTCTATTTGTAGGGGAAGCCACATCACTAATTAGAAAAAAGAAACAAAGACACATGTCAATCTGAAGAAGTGTTCTTAACTCAATTTTTTTTTGTGTTTCGCCTTGGGCCTAATATATGAGGTTTCGGTTAAATATTTTTTGGGCCTTAATCGAATGGTGAGTAGACTATTCATCTTTCAACATAATATTTTGTCTAGGATACTCCGTCATAAGAGCAGGTACATTAGAGGTTTAGGAGGGGTTCATGGGCTGGGGTTCATGGGTATTTTTAAAAAAAAAAAAAATGCAAAATGGGCCTTTTCTGGTGAACCGGTTCTCTCGCGTGAACCCTTGTGAGACGGGTTCATTCCACGTGGCGCGCTTTGGTTGGGCCGACCATTTTGCTCGAAAACACGGAATCGGGGGAGACCAAAAGCATTTTCTTCTTTCTCTCGAAAAAGTCGAGTTTCCTCTCTGCCGAGGCGATTTGTGTGCGACGGCTTCTTCTCCGATTTCTCCATCAAATCGATGACGCTGTGTCTACTCTTCTAGCAAAGGTCAGTATCGAGTAGATGAGGGGTTAGATCGGGTCGTTTTTTGGGATCGAAATCTGTTTTAGGGTTTTACAAAATCTGAAATCGATTTGGGGGTTTTGGGTTAGGGTTCTAAATTGATAAGGGGGTATCGATTTAGAACCCTAAAACGACATGCATGTTTGATTTACGGTTGGTTTAATGGTGATCTGAAATCGATTTTGGGGGTTTAGGGTTAGGGTTTCAATTGATAAGGGGGTTTCGATTTAGGGTACAAAATTGACATGCATGTTTGTTTTAGGGTTCGTTCATAGGTGATCTGAAATCGATTTTGGGGGTTTAGGTTTAGGGTTTCAATTGATACGGGGGTTTTAATTTAGGGTTAAAAATTGTTAAGGGAGTTTAGGTTTAGGGTTAAAAATTGAAATGGATTTTGGGGGTTTGTGGTTACGGTTTCAATTGATACATGGGTTTTAATTTAGGGAACCAAAATTGTTAAGGGAGTTTAGGTTTAGGGTTAAAAATTGAAACGGATTTTGGGGGTTTGTGGTTACGGTTTCAATTGATACAGGGGTTTTAATTTAGGGAACCAAAATTGTTAAGGGAGTTTAGGTTTAGGGTTAAAAATTGAAATGGATTTTGGGGGTTTGTGGTTACGGTTTCAATTGATACAGGGGTTTTAATTTAGGGTTAAAAATTGTTAAGGGGGTTTAGGTTTAGGGTTAATATCCTTTATTAATATCCTTTTCTTTTGCTTGTACAGATGGATCCCGCAGATGAGAGAAGAGCTTTCAAGAAGCAAAAACAACATATCGATATG